TTTGCTTGGGTATTCCTAAGGAGGATTATAAACCAATGGCTCTGGAGGTGACATTTTGAAAATAAAATGAAACGTTTTGTAAATACAGTTATGTATGACACTCCAGGTGGCGGGAGTGGTAAAGAAACCACCTGCCAGGGCAGGGGATGTAAGAGACGTGGGTTTGATCCCTGGGCTGGAAAGATCCCCCGGAGGAGAGCATGGCAACCCCCTCCAGAATTCTTGCCGGGAGAATCCCATGGATACAGGAGCCTGGTGGGCTACAGTCCACAGGGTTGAAAACAGTCGGACATGACTGAAGCGACTTAGCACACACACGCATAACGTAAAGTACATAAAACAAATGCCATATACCCACCATCCGTTTGTGACGATGGCATTAACCGCCTCATGCTGATGGTAATTCTGTTGTCTCCGCCTCAAAGAGGTGCCTTTTACTGGTGTTATGGTAGTTCTTTTGACTCTTCTGTCACTTTTGAACAGGTGAACGGGGGGCTGCTACTACTGCTAAGTCACTTCAGTCGTGTCCGACGCTATGTGACCCCATCTCTGGGATTCTCCAGGCAAGAACACTGGAGTGTGCTGCATTTCCTCCCCTGGTAAACAGGCTAGGACTCTCTGAAATCCATCCAGTGCAGAAAAAGGAAAATGCAGCAGATTGTTGGTGAGGTCTGGCCAGATACAAATGAGTGCTTAACGATGCTGAAGCAGACTGGTGAGAGATGTGGAGTCCATATAGCCAAGTAATGTGGGAGAGTAAGAAGAAAATTGAGGTGAAAGGAGTGGTAGGCCCTTGACCTAGTCCTAGGGGCTTGGTGTCAAGAAATGTGTGATGGAGCCATTCAACTTAAAACTGCCAAGCACTAATTTTCTTAGAGAATTCTTTATCCTTTCAGACTGATTATGTGTATATGTAGATAGGTATATACATGTGCAGCTTTAAATCTAATTTTATACATATAATATACTTATTTTAAACATAAACTATAGGATAACCCTAGTATCATATGGTTGGATGGCATCACTGACTCGATGAACGTGAGTCTGAGCAAGCTCCAAGGGTTAGTGATGGACAGGGAAGCCTGGCGTGCTGCGTCCATGGGGTTGCAGAGAGTCAGACACAACTGAGCGACTGAACTGTAGTATCATATTTGATATTTAATAATACCATGTGCTCTGAAGATGGTGGAGGCAAAACTTGCCAATTACACTTTTAGCAGTCATACCAAAGGATGAATATTTCATGAGAAGTGTAAAGAAATTACTTTTCCAATGTCTTCATTGAGGAAAGAAGGCTATCATCTGAAGAGGCAGCTTCAAGGGGCTGTTTGGATGTTGTAAAGAGCCATCAAGTTTATTATTCGTGACATAAATGGAAACTTTTTAAGTAGATTATGTTCTGACATAAAGGATTCCAGTTAAGACACCAGATTGCAAGGAAAGACACGAACAGCTGCTGCAGCTTTGAAACTGTACTTACTGCTCACTTGTTCACAAAAATGTTTAGATCCACTTCACTACTTTTAAACTTTCTGTAGACAAGTGACATGGATGTATTACAGGCCCAGGGAATGGTTTTAGAAGCAATCAAAGGCTGACATTAAAGCCAGGAAGTGTTCAGGGGACAAAAACCTCCCCTTTGTGACCAAATGAACCACTTACTGCAAAAACCAGGATAGCATTGAGGAAAACGTGGGCAGCCAACCTAGGAAACAAAACGAACTTCAACCATAATGAAATCACTGCTCATGTAACAGCAAGAAGCAGTCCCCAGAGAATCAATAAGCAATTGGTTCCCAAAGAATATGGATCCTACTCGCCGAAGAAATCAGAGCAACTGCTTTCTTTCTCGGTGTTCTTCTCTCTACCCGAGTTTCTGCTATCTGTGGTCCAGTCATCCTTCAGTATTTAATCAGCTTCCACTCCTTGGGAAGATTTTAGCTCATCAGCTCCTTCAAATTTCTCTTAGCACATAGTGTGTGCCTCTTATTGTGTTCGTGACCTTGAACTCTGTACCATACAATTTGCATCACTATTATTTGTTGTCGTTGTTCAGTTTCTAAGTCATGTCTGACTCTTTGAGACCCCTCGGACTATAGCCCGCCAGCCTCCTCTGGCCCGCCAGCCTCCTCTGTCCATGGGATTTCCCGGGCAAGAATACTGGAGTGGGTTGCCATTTCCTTCTCCAGGGATTCTTCCCGACCCAGGGCTGGAACCCTCGTCTCCTGCACTGGCAGGCGGGTTCTTTACCACTGCGCTACCAGGGAAGCTGTGAAGTAATTTAGGTAAACTAAAACAAACAAAAGTCTTTATTTCCTTTCTTAAAGCCCTGCTGTGTCCTACTGAGATGAAGAAAAGGACAAGCAAAATAATCCAGAGGCAACCCGGAAGGAAGGTATAAAGCAGGAACTTTGCGGATGTTTAGCACAATGCCCGCTATGCCTTTCTGGGGGAATTTTAACCTCCTTCTCTGCCAAGGCCTCACACCTGCAATGTGAACAGCCGGGGACCCACAGGGCAGTGATGTGACTTCAAAGAGGAGCAGACAAGTGAAGCAGGCAGAGGGGACCCAGTGGAGCCAGGATGATCTCTAGAATGTCTCAGATCACTAGCCTCTGCACCTGTCCCAAACCACTGCGTTTGAGGGTGTTCCTTAGACCACTACTGTGTCCCCAGATAAGACCCTAAAAAGTACATGTTTAAATGTTTGTTGGTGCCACATATCACATCTGCTTAAAAATGCACTCCTTGTTGTGAAGGGGTAGGCAGGGAGTGTGAGATGGACATGTCCACCCTGCTATATTTAAAATGGATCTCTAACAAGGACCTCCTGCAGAGCACGGGGAACTCTGTTCAAGGCCGTGTGGCAGGCTGGATGGGAGGGGAGTTTGGGGGAGAATGGACACATGTATATGTATGGCTGAGTCCCTTTGCTATCCACCTGGAACACTCACAACATTGTTAATCAGCTATACCCCAATACAAAATAAATTTGAAAAAATGCACCCCTTGGAAAGATCATTCTGGTTGTCTCACTGAGTTTCTCTAGCTATTGCCCTATGCAATGAATGCTTTTAAAAACTGTATTTGAGAGCTGCGAGTTAAATCAACTAGTCTGGGATATATAGTCCTTGAATTAACTGAGAGGAGGGAAAGAGCAGGAAATGAGCCAAGTCAGAAGAACAAATGGAACCGAAGGAGCATCACCGACCTCAGGTCCAGAATCAGGACTTTTATTAGGTTCCTGAGGAGTTAAGTGACTGTTCCCATGGGCAATTACATTTTCCAGAGCAAAATAAATTAGTTAAATGTGTCTATAGAGGGGCCAAGCATTACAACTGTTCTTAGTCTGTTTCTAAGAATTATTTCATCACTAACTTACATTAGTGATCTTGGAAATAAATGAAAGGAACCCCAAGTTATGAAAGCTCTAGGCTTTTGTTGTGACGGAGTTGGTGATGGACAGGGAAGACTGGCGTGTGCAGTCCACGAGGTCGCGAAGAGTCGGACAGGACTGAGCAACTGAACTACCGAACTGATAGCAAATGAACAACTCTTAAAATAAGAAACATCTTAGGAGTCATAGTAACTGACTCAAAATATCCCTCAGAATTACAAGAAGAACTGAAAAGTTTCTCTAGGTCTCATAAGCATGTTTTGGACATGAATAAGTTTTTAAGTATTAATAATAAATATTACTGGGCTTCCCCAGTGGCTCAGGGGTAAAGAATCTGCCTGCAATGCAGGAGATGCAGCAGATGTAGGTTCGATCCCTGTGTCAGGAAGATCCCCTGGAGAAGGACATGGCTACCCACTCCAGTATTCTTGCCTGGGGAATCCCATGGACAGAGAAGCTTGGTGGGCTATGGTCCATGGGGCCACCAAGACTCAGACACAACTAAAGCAACTGAGGATGCATGCCATATATGTTGTCATTATAACAGAACTATGTGTGTGCTTAGTCACTTAGGTGTGTCCTACTCTCGCCACCCCATAGACTGTAACCTTCCAGGCTCCTATGTCCATGGGATTTTCCAGGGAAGAATACTGGAGTGGGTTGCCATTTCCTTCTCCAGGAGATCTTCCCGACCCAGGAATCGAACCTAGCTCTCCTGCATTGTAGGTAGATTCTTTACCGACTGAGCTACAAGGGAAGCCTGTGAAAGAACTATATGTAATGATTTATCTCAATTAATCTTCACAACAGTCCCATTTAAAACTCAATTTTTAAATTCTCTTTCAATTTTTAAATTTTTTAAAGTTATTCCCATTTGAAGCTCAGCAAAATTTAGAGGCTTTCCTAAGGATCCTTTCTTAAGGATGTCAGACCGTCTGAATGGAAACCAGATCTTCTCATTTTAAATCAAGTGCATCTTGGAAGTGATGGAGGCCTAAATGGATTCCATGTCTTTTAACCCAAATCTAGTTCTCTTTGTATATACAACACCACAACTGACAGATTAAAAATATGATCCCCAGAGGCTCTAGGTGAAAATAAGGACAAAGATTTTTTTTTTTATGAACAATTGTCATTTAGTTCAAAGGAATCATGAAACTATCTTGTGTCTAATCAATTAAATATTAGAGACAGTAGAAGGAAAAGAATTGTTTTGGGGCCAGCTTGGGATCTAAGTATTTGGATGCTTAGACCAGGTTTCTCAACAGCAGGACTATTGCAATTTGGGGCCAGACTTCTCTTTGATGTGGGGTCATCATAAGGTATTTTGCAGCATCCAGGCCTCTACCCCCTGGATGCAATGGTGACAGCTGAGAATGTCTCCAGCATGGCCTCCCTGGGCGTCTAAGTCATCCTCCTCCCCAACTGAAAACCACAGACTTAGAGGCAGTATTATATTTTTTTTCCTGTGCCTGAAAGAAGTTCTATTTTTTCTTAATTGTAACATGTTACTGAGAAATGTTCCAAACTTCCTTCAGATGTAGAAGAAATTCAAGAAAGATTGTTCTCCCCACTAAAAGTATCACCCATATGACTATCTTACCGTTGATGGTGACTTTCCTGTCCTTTGACTTCTCCCATCGATGGGACAGTCACTCTAGACTGTATCCTGATGACACAAAGGCATGCTGTGAATAGTGACATATTTGGAAGGTACAAAATAGAGAGGGAATTTTTGTTATCCACATATGTGTAGGTGAAATAGATAAACATATGGAATGCGGTGCTCGGAGCCACAGTGAGATACCCCTACACGTGCATTCGATTGGCTAGAATTAAAAAGACTGGCTGACTGTTTCAGGGCTGGCAGTGACACAGAGGAGCTAGAACTCTCATATGGTGCCAGGAGGAATGCAAAGCGGGGAAATCACTTTGGAAAACAGTTCAGTCATTTCTTAAAATGTGAAACTCACAGACACCTGCCACACGATGCAGCCATTCCAGTCCAGCCATTGGTCTATGGGAAACAAACAAATGAAAAATGTCGACTTCTACATGGGTGTCCATAGGAGCTTTATTTATAATCACCAAAAGCTGAAAACAACCCAAAATTATAATACAGCCATTGAGTGGAATTTTTGTTGCTTTTGTTGTTCACTCACTAAGTTGTGTCTGACTCCTTGTGCCCCCATGGGCTGTAGCAGTGTGAAAAGCCAAAAATAGAGAGGAATACTACTTGGCAATAGAAAAGAAGGAACTATACTCACTTACATGGATGAATCTCAAAAGCATTACTCAAGTGAAAGAGGACAGCCAAAAGAAAATATGCACAGTGTATGCATATGTAAAGTTCTAGAACACACAAACTGATTTGTGGTCATGGGAAGCAGGTCAGCATTTCCTGGGATTGGTGACTCCTGGGGAAGGAGAAATGGAGAGGAAATTTGTTCAGTGATGGAAAAATTTGCTATTGTTATGATGACTTTAATTGTTTGATGCATATGTCAAAACTGCCAAGATTATAAATTTAAATATGTGTCATTTATTATAATTCAATTATAATTCAATAGAAGAAAAAGGAACAAGTTATAGGAAAATGCAAGTTTTATCTACCCAGTAGAAGTGGTGATAGAAGACAGAATTCAAACTCCAATCCTATTATTCCAAAGTAACTGCTAAAGACAATTTTGGTAAATGCATATGTTGCATAAACACCAAATCCATGATGTAGTTGTGTATTGGAGCCAGTCTAACCAGTATTTCTTGCCTTTCAGGCCAGAATATATAACAACACAAGCCTGCACACAGGCACACAGGCACATACACTCGCCACACAATCCCATTACAAAGCAAAATCAGCTGCATCACAGTTGTTTCATTCTGCCATCCTGTGCCTTCTTTCCTTACTTGAAGCTATCATCTTTTTGTCATTCTTTAAGAAATAGCTCATCTCACTTAAACAAAATGGTATAACCTTCACCTTATGAACAATTCAAGTTGGTGATTATATTAATGCTTCAGCAAATACCAAACACAGCGAAAGTTTAAAAATCTTGGAAAAGGGGACTTCCTTGGTGGTCCGGGGATTAAGACTCTACGCTTCCAATGCAGAGGGTACGAGTTTGATCCCTGATCAGAGAGCTAGGATCCCACAGGCTGCACAGCACAGTCAAAAAATAAAAATATTAAAAAATAATAATAAAATATTTTTTTAATCTTGGAAATGCACAAATGAGGTCACTTCTGTGTTCTTTATGTTTTATGAACTGAAACTCCAAACTGATGCAAAGTGTCATTAAGTTGGCATTGTAAATGTGCCAGGCCTAAAACAGGTATTCTCTAGATGAAGTCTCAGCTACGTCAAAGAATAAATGCATATCATATTATTTGAGTCACAGCAAAGAGACTATATTAACAATCAAAGAGGTATATTTATTTTCCTTTCCATATTTGGCCACTTTGGGCATCTTTTCCGGAAGAGAAAAAGAAATCTATAGGAGTTGAATGCCAAGTGAGGTGAGCTGCACCTTTGAACTCAGAAAATAAATAACTACAATTCTGTGGCTCACTATAACATTTTGGCCATCCTTTGTTTCTCTCTGACAATGGTAAATTATATATTATCATGTCACAAGTTAGACAGCACATGGATTTAGGGTGAACTGATGAATTCCGAGGCAACAGCCAACTCTTTCTGCAGGAACTGAACGTTGCTCCATCTGGCCAATGTAGAAGCAAATGAAAACAATGTATTTAAAGACATTTTGCCCTTTTTACTTTTCACTCCAAGATCAGTTGTTATAATATCTTGATGCAAACAATGCTGTAATCCAGAATGAGGCTTAGCACATAGGAACTAAAATGAGTCAAGAGAAGCAAAACAGGAGAAAGGAAAAAGGGAGCATAATATACAAGCAAACAAGAAACAAGATGAAACTCCACAAAAATCTAAATTTAAAAAAGCAACTATTCCAGGTGAAAGTAGATGAAACAAAGCCAGAGGCACAAATATCAAGAGAAGAGTCTCAAACAAATATATGCGAACTTATCCTAATTATGTTTTAACGGAGATAATGAGAGCCACAGTAAAGAGCATACTGTGATTTAAACATATACATACATATACATGGACAGACGGACACACACACATACGCATCATGAAACAAGGGAGGAAGTTGGCTTCATGACTTTCTAGCTGTGATCTTGGTCAAGCTATTTAGCTCTACCCCACTTCAGTTTCCCATGTTAAGTGAGAATAATACAAGAAAACCAAAGGACTGTTACTCTGTGAATTAAATGAGATAATGGTGATTGAGCCCTTAGCACCAAGTGAGGATCATTTGTAAATACAATAACTTTCAGATAGTGTTATAGGATTTATTAGGCATTATAATGGGGGAAAAAAACTAATGTCATGGAGCAACGTATCAGCTATGCAGAAGTATTAGTGCTACCTGACTACTTCACGAGTATTTACAAAACGTGGCAGTAATCACGTAAGGGAAACTGAAAAAATGGTTCTAAATTATCTTCAATAATACACTTGATCCAAATGACTAACAGTAGAGATATTAGATGAAGCAGAACGGACCTGAAGTGAAATTAAAGCCTATTTTCCCAAATCAAAAAGACAATTATATATGGATTCAGAAGGACCCAGAAAACCATCCAAGAATAATTCCAAAAGAAAGAAATCACCTAGTTGCCAAATGTTTGAACCTTAAACATAAAAACCATATTTTACCAGCTGCAAATGAAGGAGAAAGGCTTAAGAATTAAAAAAAAAAAAAAAAAAAGCAACATGAAATTCATTCTCTGAAATTTACGAGAAGAAAGGCAAGAGAACCAGAGCTGTGACCACAGATACGGTAACTGAGGAAGGGAATCTCCAAGAAAGCAAGGGGAAACTCTAAATTCAACAAGAGACAATGCCAAAGAACAAGAACAAACCAACCACAGCAAAGAGGAGGTCGGGAAGTAATGGATATCGGAGAACAAATGCAAAAGAATGCTTTAAAACAAAGAGATTTTTAGAACCTGAATAAAAGCAAGGTTAGTGATAGAACTGTAAAAGCTTAGGTGGATCAGACTAAACTGCACAAGATGCCGAGGACTAGAGCATCCCGTGAGTCGTCTCCCAGAGCCTGTGTTTTGCTCTTCCTGGCTTTTACTTCCTCCCCCGACTGTCTTCTTTGCTTCCACCCTAGCCTTCATTTCTTGACCCCTCCTTCTTTTCAAGCTCCGTCCCCACTCAGAGTGTTGAACGTGGGGATTCCATGCAGGACAATCTTGGATAATATTTTTCTCGTTTTTTTTAAATAAGTATAATATTTATCAAGCATCTCAAATATTTCTGGTCTTCAGAAGGCTGCAGACAAACCAACACAGAATGTAGATACCCATCATATTTTCAGAGATTTCCAATAAAGATAAAACCTAGTTCCGTAGAAGCCTCATGTCACAGAATTTACTCTCCAACAGTCAGTTCTGTATGAAGTTTCTCCAAGTTGACAGTACTGATATTTGGGGCTGGATGATTCTTTGTTCTGGGGGGACTAGCCTATGCTTTGTAGAATGTTTAGCACATTCTTGACCTCTAGATGACACTAGCGTTCCCTGCACCCCAGTTTTGACAACCAAAATTATGCCAGATATCTCCAAATATCACCTAGGAGGCAAATAGCCCCAGCTGGGAACCTCTGCTATAAACCCTTAGATGTGGCGACCTTGAGGAGTTGTTGGGAAGACTGAGGTGGTGACCATTTCTGTATTTATGGCCAGCACACACCTACTGTTTTTTTTTTTATTTTTTTTTGGGTTTTGTTTTTTTTCCATTTTTTTTTTGTTTTTTGGGTACAGCAAAGCGAATCAGCTGTACGTGTGTATTTATGCCCCTCTTTCTGAGATTTCCTCCCCATTCAGATTACCACAGAGCATTGGGTAGAATTCCCCGGGCTCTACGGTAGGTTCTCATTAGTTATCCATTTTACACTCAGGATCCATAGTGTATATTTGTCAATCACAGTCTCCCAGTTTATCCCACCATCTCCTAGATCCTCCTTGGTATCCACAGGTTTGTTCTCGACGTCTGAAGGACACATCTACTTTCTAGCATCATTCTTCTCAGCCACTGGACACATGTGACCATGGAGCACTTGAAGTGCGACTAGTCAGAATTGACTGTGCTGGGAGCATAAAACAAACACCAAATCTGGAAGACTTGGACATAAAAAAAATAAAACGTTTCATTTAAAAATTTTCATTGACTACATGCTGAAATGAAAATATTTTGAATGTATTAGGTTAAGTAAAATATATTATTGAAATCAGTTTCAACTTTCTACTTTTTCATGTCGCAACTAGAGAATTTGAAATTGCATATATGCACCAGTCAGGATGGCTGCTATCCAAAAGTCTACAAGCAATAAATGCTGGAGAGGGTGTGGAGAAAAGGGAACCCTCTTACACTGTTGGTGTTAATTAGCCTCCAACTAATAAAAATAAATGGAAAAAAAGAAAAAAAGAAATTGCGTATATGGCTTGCATTGTATTTCTACCGGGCTTGTGCTGTTCTAGGAAGCCAAAGCACTTTGCATGTCAAAGCCTTTTGTTTTTCATTAAGCCAACAGTATTTAAAGAATGTCCGAGGTATGTGCCTAAGGTTGCATTAGCTGCTTTTGGCT